TCACACACTGACCACTGGACACATCACACCCCACCACTCTCACACACTGACCACTGGACACATCACACCCCACCACTCTCACACACTGACCACTGAGATCAATGCATCTTTTCAACAGGCTGTCCAGATACTGAGCACTGGTCGTCGTACAGCGTCATAACCCACACACTCTGGAGGACAGTATGGGCACACTTCAACACTCTGCTAGGATTTTTGCTGAAGCCTCCTTACCAGCATTGCTCAGCAGACTGATCCTGTGGCTACAAAAACAACAATCCAGTAAACGAGCTTGACGAACATGAGTTTGTTTTTCAAAGCCTTTGCAATCACATATAAACTTTCTCCTCAGCAAGCACCACCACAAGAAGAGGAATGGACTATCTGTCCCTACTGTTACTCATCTGCCAGTATATGCAGCTCACTGTTAACTCCAGCACGTTATACTGTAGACCAGACACCCCGGACAGGTGATGGTATAGCCCAGGCACCCTAAAGAGGTGAGCGTGTAGCTACTTTCCATTTTTTATGCCTTCCAAACTACAATTCTCCCAGCTCGCACACACACCTAAAAAGAAGATAAAGCACATATTGTTTCTGGATGAAGTTTTAAACGAGGGTGTAAAAATCGTGGGAACATGAGCAGGTAGGTGTAGGGTGGCTCGAACGGTTGCACTAAATTACTTTCGCCGGGAGTGGACGCCAGGTGTGCACACGGGGGTGAACCCGCTGCGGACTGACCGCTGGAGAGCGGACACGGGCTCCTCAGCACTTCCCCGGACAGCCTGCGGATACGGACTCACGCCGCCCCTCTCTCCCGGAGCCACCTGCCCCGGTCTGAGCCTCCCTCTGTGGGCTGGCTGAGCTACCGTACCACACGACCACCCGACCACACGCCGAAACCCAGCCCGGACCGAAAGGAAGACGCCACTCATTCAACTATGTTCCATTTCCTTTGTGCGCGTACTAAAGAGCGTAAAAAAAGAGGGGAATAATAATCATAATAATTTACTTTGCTGACGTTTTTATGGAAGTTTTGAGACCATCGGCCGACCCCAATCTGAGCTCGTTCTTCGGGAGGAGTTTGTGGAGTCGGGGCTTCTGCTGCCTGGTCCCGGACCGCTGCGTGCCGGGCTCGGTCTGGGGTAAGACGGAGGCGAGGCAGAGCGAGCGCTGTCAGTGGGAGGGAGGAGGGGTGGAGATGTGGAGGGGCTGGACCGCTATTTGCGCTGAATCGGGGACAAAGGCACGCGATGAACTGCACGGCTCTGTGCTTAACACGACGCCTTGCGTGGCTTTTAAAGACCCACACGGCGAATGAGCTCTACAGTGTTCCACAGGACGAGAATTAAAAAGTGTGTTTGTTGTAGTATTTTTTGCTTTTCATTGGCCTTTCGGCCAACATTACCCCCCCACACACACACACAACCCGATTACAACTGATGGCCAACGTATGCGTTCAGGTTGGGCGTCTAAATTTCCCCTTGATGCGCGAAGCACCGCACGTGTAAAAGAGATCAGACGGTGTGCCCTCGCTCGCTCAAGTTGCGAGGACGCGCCGGGCTTTGTTCTACCGAAAATAAACGAGCCGAGCGCGTTCGGAAGAACCACACGGATCACCGGCAAGGCTGTCAGCAATCTTGAACTAACAAAATGAGAAGCCGAATCGTCTTACCTTCGAGGATCATTCACGCACTAATCTTCCCGGCGGTCCGCTCCTCCGGATTCTCCCGGTCCGGCGTGACTTCTTGTTCTGCCCAGGACCAGAGGATCTGGGAGCGGGATCAGCGTAGTAGGAGGGGGGGGGGGACTTGTAGTCCTGACCCCGGTTCGGGAGGCACGAACCTGACCCACAGTGAGCCCCCGAGTTCGGGACGCCCCGGTTCGGGCTCAAGCTGTGGCGGCGGGGCGAGCCAGGACTCACATCCTCCTGCCCGCAGGGCTGTGCCGGGCGCTTGCTCCTGTGTGACCTGGGTGGGTGGGTGGAGGGGGGAATCGGTGGTGCTGATGCGAGATGGCTCGCCCTGCTTTCGTGTGCTGTCACGCCTCTGGTTGAAAACAACCGAAATACAAAAAAAGAGCTTTTGAGAGGCAGCAGGAGACTGCCGGTGCCTTCCTCCACTCCGTAAAAGCCAAGTCAACAGATCTCGAGTCCCGATTTCTTTTGTGTGTGTGGTGTTTTTTTGTTGTTGTTGTTTCCACGCAGTACGAGCTGCTGATGTCCGTTCTCAAGCTTTTCCCTCGGCCCGTCTGTGCACCGGTCACATGTGAAGTGCTATAGAAACTGTTCACTTGCGGCTCAAGTATCCTCGTATCCGCGCAGCTGTCGCAATACTATTACATAAATCTGTGGGTTTTTTTTTTCCTAAAGTGTTTCGCCGAGAAACACTTCTCGCCACCCGGGTCTACCGCATGATCAAGCGCTGCTGCGCGGAAAACTGAACTACCTTCTCTGTCAGCAGCGGAATTCTAGGAAACACGGGGTGGCGATGGTGGTGGGGGGGATATCAGGAGAGTCCTTTTGTTTCATCCAGCCCTTCCTGCGAGGCGTGTACTTCACGCTTTTCACCGCGCCGTCTTCTCAAGCCGTGAGTGCGGAGTGCGCCGGTTTGCCTGTCACAAGGAGTCCAGCCCCGTGCGCTCCGTGGTGCCGAGTGCTCGCTCTCCTCTTCTCTGGTCATACCAGGCTGCGGAGCCCAGCAGCGCATCCAGCCGCCTAGTAAAGAGAGCACCGCCCATCAACAAGCGCCCCGTGACGACACCCCCGTGCCCCGTCACTCACCGGGCGCGGCCACACCCCATCCATTCATAAAGTAGCGCGCCGGCCCCTCCCGCGGACACAGGAACTCCGGGAGCCGGAGGGACGGTCGCTTTCCCCGCGGAACAGCCCTGCCCCAGGTCCGGGGAGCGGGACTGAGGGCCCCCGGGTCTCGCCGCTGTTAGAGCCGAGAAAGTCTGAAGAGGGGAGGCGAAGGACAGTTTGGGGAGGTTGTTCCGATTAAGGGCTGCGCCTGCATGAGATTTTTTTTTGTGTGTGTGAACGTGTGATAAGACAGGTACTGTAACACGTGAGAAAGAAGATATTGTTGGGGTTTTTGTTTTGTCTTCGCACACATAATGCATTGCATTACGCCAAGAGCCGAAAACGTGTATTGAATATGACGTTTTAATGGGTACATAACCAGGCAGGACTCGTCATAGTGTGTCTGCCGCCGATACCC